GATGTTCATCATAGGCCCGCTGGACGAGGTCAAGATTCCCCCCGCGGTTTCCCGGGTCGTTTTACATGGCTGATCACGGCCTAGCCACCTCTGGTCGCCCGTCGGCAGTCGTGTATGACCTCGCGGCTGCTGCGGACATCCTGTATAAAGTTATTGCGAAGGCCTGACGGCCGGCGCCGCCGACCCTGTTCGCAATGCGCAGCAAGAGGCACGGGCTGTGGGATGGTTTGGGGGAACGGGGAGAAGGACGAGAAGGTGGGGGAGGGAGGTGTCGTATCTGACCCGGGACTTCCCCGGGACTCCCCCGGGACCCCCCCCGGGACCTCCTCTCCCCCCCCCGTCGGGGAAGGGAAAGGGAAGGGGCTTCCCTTCGACTCAATGACGACGTTGCTCAAGGTCGGTACGGGGGGGGGCGTCGTATCTGACTCGGGGGGGGGGTCGCTACCCCCCCCGCTACCCCCCCCCCCCTCCCGGCGGGGGAGGGATCAAAGGGAAGGGGCTTCCCTTCGACTCAATTACGAGGTTGCTCAAGGTCGGCTTGGCTGGAGCCCAGGGGAAGAGGAGTCCCAGGGGGGGGCGTCGTATCTGACCCGGGGGGGGGGTCGCTACCCCCCCCCCCCTCCCGGCGGGGGAGGGATCAAAGGGAAGGGGCTTCCCTTCGACTCAATTACGAGGTTGCTCAAGGTCGGCTTGGCTGGAGCCCAGGGGAAGAGGAGTCCCAGGGGGGGGCGTCGTATCTGACCCGGGGGGGGGGTCACCCCCCCCCCCCCCTCCCGCGGGGGAGGGATGAAAGGGAAGGGGCTTCCCTTCGACTCAATTACGAGGTTGCTCAAGGTCGGCTTGGCTGGAGCCCAGGGGAAGAGGAGTCCCAGGGGGGGGCGTCGTATCTGACCCGGGGGGGGGGGTCGCTACCCCCCCCCCCTCCCGGCGGGGGAGGGATCAAAGGGAAGGGGCTTCCCTTCGACTCAATTACGAGGTTGCTCAAGGTCGGCTTGGCTGGAGCCCAGGGGAAGAGGAGTCCCAGGGGGGGGCGTCGTATCTGACCCGGGGGGGGTCGCACCCCCCCCCCCCTCCCGGCGGGGGAGGGATCAAAGGGAAGGGGCTTCCCTTCGACTCAATTACGAGGTTGCTCAAGGTCGGCTTGGCTGGAGCCCAGGACGGCGGGGGAGGGATCAAAGGGAAGGGGCTTCCCTTCGACTCAATTACGAGGTTGCTCAAGGTCGGCTTGGCTGGAGCCCAGGGGAAGAGGAGTCCCAGGGGGGGGCGTCGTATCTCCCAGGGGGGGGCGTCGTATCTGACCCGGGGGGGGGGGTCGCTACCCCCCCCCCCTCCCGGCGGGGGAGGGATCAAAGGGAAGGGGCTGCTCAAGGTCGGCTTGGCTGGAGCCCAGGGGAAGAGGTCTCCCAGGGGAAGGGAAGGACAGAGACGACGAGTACAAAGAATGACGGAGATGACGGCTCGAACGGAAAAGCCCCTCACACACGCCGACAGGGTCGGCGGATTTTGACAGTTCTCGGTGCGAGCATTTGCACCAAGAAGGCCAGGGTGGTTGCCTCCCACGAGTCCGTCGCCATGGCGCTGCGGAAGAAGCAAGGCGTTTTATCAGGTACTAGTGTCGTGTCTCATACAGCCAATCTCGGGGTTGGCCACGCTTCTGGACGGCCCCGCAGGGCCCCTCGGCGTTCCAAGGTTTTCACGTTTCGGACGTTGCATTCGAAAACTACAACGCGTGGGCTGCAAACGACTCGGCAAGCTTGCGGAAGGCATGCCGGGAAGATATGTATTACGGGGCCTTTTCCAGGTTTGGTAATGCGGTTGTGAAGTTCACGGTGTGTGAGACCGCAAATGGGGTTTGGCAAAGCGAGCGCGTGGCAGATGTGTCCGACCCATGTCTGGGCCAAGGGTTTTCACCTCGGCGCTCATCTTGGACGAAGATCCCACGTACTACGACCCCGTTGCGCCCGTCTTGAGGTATTCGAAGGAGCTTCGGGGCACCCGTGTGATAGTTTTTCGGTTTATGCATTCTTGGAAGGAGTTTTTGGGATTTTGGGTATCGACTTTCCTAGGACCTGGGCCAGACGACTGGAAGCAGGCCGCGGGGCCCATGGCTGCCATGAAGTTGAGTCTCAAGCGGCTGGGCTGGTCAATGCCCAGCTACGCGGTGATGATTGACAAGTTTGCATGGCGCCCCCCCTCACTCTGGTCGCCCCCACGCTCCTCAAGAGACACTTCAGGCTGGCCATCGCCCACCTTCATGCACCGCGTGTCGGTGCAAAACCATTGCCCTCTCCCCCGTAGCCTCTGCGAGTGTGTCACGACCAGATTCGCGCCCAGTTGCAGTCCACCAAGTTCACTGCCTATTAGCAAGGATGCATCAAGGCTGGCGTCTGCGGCGCTGTGTGGTGCCGCGCCCGGGCCGCTGCTGCAGGGTTTGCGCTCTCCGGCTCTGATATGTCATGCCCGTCGTGCAAGCAGGCGCCCGACATCGTCATTCATAGGCTGTGCGTATGCCAGGCGGTGTGGCTGGAAAGAGAGGGCGCGCTTGGTCTTGCTGCATCGCTTTGTCCGCCCCCCAGCCCCGCGGAGGATAGCGACCCTGCTGAGTTGTTGCTTTGCAGCGGTGGTTTGTGTCGGCATCTGGGAGATATCTACCCCCGCCCGATCTGCCAGATCGATGGGCCCGAGTCGAGCTTCCAGGTTCAGTGGGCAAGGGGCCCTGCGCGCACGTCAGTTGAACTTCAAGGCAGGCTTCACGTCGACGGTCTTGTTTCCGAAGTGTGTAGTGCGAAATCTCCAGGGGTGGGTGGGGGTGGGTGGTGGTTCCCGTCTCGCCGTCTCGCCCGAAGGTGAAGTCGAGTGTGTCACGTCGGGCCCTCCCTTCGGACACTGCGCTCGGGCCCCCCAAGCTGCAGACTTTGCGGCAACTTGCATGTCAGTGCCGTGTGGCCGCCCAGAGGGCGATATTTTTAGACTGTTTGAACGTTGTTCGCCAGGTCCAGGAACCCGTCCAGGCCAGTCTCTCTTATCGTCGCCTCTACGCTGGACTCATGCTCCAAGCCCTGGCGCCCAGAACCGATTCAGTGATCGAGGTTAAAGCGCATGTGCCCGACAGCCCCGACCTCTCCGACCAAGCCAGGTCGCACAAATTCGGCAGCAATCGTGCTGATGGGGCGGCGAAGGCAGCAGCTCTTCAACACCCTCAGCCGTCTCCAAGCGAGGTTGAACATTTTCGCTCACTTTGAACGTGTGTCCCGCGCTGTTGCTAAGCTGTATGCCCACATAATGCCTCTTTGGCCCAGGTTGGACCTCGCCGACGCTTCCTGGACGAAGCCCCGCTCTGCTCCGAGGCCTCCTCCATCACCTCCCCCCATGACTGGGCATTGGGAAGGTAGGTTTTGGATTTGTTCAACATGTTTTCGAGCCTCCCGTGGTTCTTGGAAGCCCCCCCCCTTGGGCGCTGCAACGGCTCCATCTCAATCAATCAAAAGTATCACCCCTGAATCGCTGCGCTTCTTGGAGCACGTTCCAGTGATTTTGAAGTCGAACCACGGTGAAGGCCTGCTGATTGCGTGCGTCAGATATAATTACTGCGCCTCTGGTGGGCGAGTGCTGGGTCTCAGCAGCAAATGGGTTGGACCCCCACCGGAGACAAGTGTGACAACGGCCGCCGTTATGGTTGGTCTTGCATCCTCAAGGGAAGATATAAATGGCGTGCCGCTGGACTCATGGCCGCTGGGCGATGACGCCTAGTTTGGGACTTCCTTTTTGTCACTCGTCCTCCCCATCTGCTGGTTACGAGGCAGCACACTGGCTGGAGGGGTGTATAACTTGGCTTGGCGGTTGATGTTTAAAAACTCCTCCTCCCTCCTCCTCCTCCTCCTTCTCCTCCTCCTCCTCCTCCTCCTCCTCCCTCCTCCTCCTCCTCCTCCTCCTCCTCCCCCTCCTCCTCCTCCTCCTTCTCCTCTCCTCCTCCTCCTCCTCCTCCTCCTCCTCCTCCTCCTCCTCGCTCCACCCCCCCGCCCCGCGCGGTCGAGCGGAGGCTTTGCTGTCCGCCCGCCGCTTTCCCTGCGCTCGCCCCCCCCCCCCCCCCCCCCTAGCCGCCCAATGGGCCTCCTCGGGCGCGCCCCCGCCGCGCTGCGGCCCCTGGCGGCCGCCGCCGCGGCGCCGCGGGCGGCCCCCTGGGCCGCGGGTGCCTCGGGCCGGTCGGGGCGGGCGACAAGGGGGGGGGGATTGACTCAGGGGGTTATGACGTTCCAGCCTGCTCTAGCCTAGACCACCAGCAAGAAGTTCCAAGGAAGTACCGATGCTGGAGAGTCTTCGCGCGTCGGGCCCCGGGAGGCGCTGCTCGTTCTCGTCGACACTGTTTCGATGCTCTTCAGGGTGCCCCGAAGTTATTCTTGGGATGCGGTCCTTCAGTACGATCGCAGGCCTAGAGGTTGACACCAACACCAATATCGGTGGTGTGCCTCCACCGAGGGAAGAAGATCCCGATCTCGGTGATGGTGGTAATATTCTGGCTTCCAAGGTGACCGAAATATTACCACCAACGCCGAAATCGAGGATCAGATTCCCCTTGTGGAGGCAGCCCCCTGTGTTGGTGTTGGTGCCAATTTCCAGGCCTTCAATACGATGGGAGCAGCATAGGTTGGGGGGGGATCGAGACCTGCGGCGTGCCCCTGGTCTCGGCCCCGCTGGCGGGCTCTTCTTCTCGACGCGTGGCCGCTCTGGGGAGGCCGGCGTGGCGCGCGGCCGATTCGGTGCTCCGATGCCCTCCCTTTGCTATGCCCTCCTCTCGTCCGACCTGGGAGGGGCGGGAGGGGGCTGGCAGCTGGTAGTGTTCTTCTTCGTCGTCGTCGTCGTCGTCGTCGTCGCCGTCGCCGTCGCCGTCGCCGTCGCCGTCGCCATCGCCGTCGTCGTCGCCGTCGCCGACGTCGTCGTCGTCGTCGTCGTCGTCGTCGTCCTCAACGTCGTTGTCGTCCTCCTGGCTCCACTGCGTGCGCAGCTGCTTTGGCTCAGGCCTTCAGGTCTCGCCAGGTGCCACGTGCCTTTTTTGCGACGCGCCCGCCGCTGCCGCCCCGCATGCTTTGCCCGATCATTGCCAGGCGAGCTCTGGCCGACAGCATCAGAAGTCGAGGAACAACAAACGGCATACGGCAGGAACATGCGGCGTTGGCGCTCTGGCGACGCCGACAAAAGCGTTCAAGGTTGAAATCTGCGACGCGGAAGCATCGATGGACACGGCAACGTCAATGTACCCGACTGAATTCAACCTGGAACAATCGGGGCCTCGACCGATGCAAGATTGAACGATCGACGCGGTGACAAAGACCTTTGCGCGCGCCGATGACGCACGAACCTACCTTACGCATAAACTTTCGGAACTCTGGGCAGATTTCTTGGATCCGCGCTGGGCCTCCCTGGCGGCGGCGCTTCCGGCGCCGCCCCTGGCGCGCTCCGCTCGCCAGAGGTGTGTCCAGCGCAGATCCAAGAAATCCGCGCGGAGCTCCGAAAGTTGATGTTGATGCTGTTTTTATTTCTCATAAGAAACACGCGTACGTTAGCTGCTGGCATCAGACTCAAAGCTCGTCATATCCAGTATGATAGCATTCAGAGAAGAAACAACTACACAGGCATAAACTTTCGAATTTCTGGGCAGATTTCTTGGATCTGTGCTCAACCCCTTGGCGGCGCTTCGAGCGCCGCCCCTGGCGCGCTCCGCGCGCCAGGGAGGGGAGTCCAGCGCCGATCCAAGAAATCTGCGCGGACCTTCGAAATCATATGTTTTTGTAGTGCTTTCTCATTCTATGCATGTCTCCCCCCCTGCGCGACGTTTTGTCAGTGCGGCCGTGGACTTCTCTTGGGGAGCAGCTCTCCAAGTGTTACCAGGTTCCAGACCCGGCGGCAGGGCCTACAAACGCGCACGCTAATTTGCGTTTGTTTGAAGCTGGAGGCGTTCCTGAAGTCACCCTTTTTCGCGACAACCACGGGTGGTGTCCCTACTGTCAGAAGGTGTGGTTGTTTCTGGAGGAGAAAAAAGTGAACTACGACGTGAGAAAAGTTACCATGTTTTGCTACGGGAAGAAGGAGGCCTGGTACAAGAAGATCGTTCCATCGGGCATGCTTCCCGCCCTTCAGGTCAAGCAGACGGGCGAAGTGGTCACAGAGTCCGACGCGATCTTGGCTCGGCTGGAGCAGCTTTTCGGCCCGCTCGGGCCCGTCCCACTGAGCCATGCCGAGGTAGAGCTCAACCGCAGGCTGGAGCGGAAACTTTTCAGTGCTTGGTGCAGTTGGCTTTGTCGACCCTCCTGGACGGCCGAAGAGGAGGCTGGAGCCAAGGAGGACTTCTGTTCCGTGTGCAGGGAAGTGGAAAGACGAATCGGAGAATCGTTGGGCCCGTTTCTGCTAAGTGAATTCGGCGTGTCGGACACCATTCTGTGCCCTTACATCGAACGCATGCAGAGCTCTCTCTTTTATTACAAAGGCTTTAACATGAGAGAGACCTTTCCAGTCATCAGCGCCTGGTTCTCAGCAATGGAGCAAAGGTCGACGTACCAGGGTACCAAATCGGACCACCACACGCACGTGCACGACCTCCCACCGCAGATGGGGGGTTGCTATCATGACGCGAACTGTTTAAAGGCTTCGCCCTCGTTGGTTGAGGTCGTGAAGGGGGCGATGGATAGCGTGGACGCTCCGAGTTTAAATTCTGATTCCTCTTCTCTCGAGGTGGACGCATCGGCGTTTCCTGAGCCGGCGACGAGCAGACTGGAGGCAGCTTATCGGGTGATGCGCCACCGTCAGGTGTTAGCGCAGATCTCCCCGGTTCACTCTTCCAGCCCAGACGCATTCGATGTGGGTGTGCGAGCAGTTCTGACGAGGTTGCTGGCAGATTGTTCATATCGGCACTTCCCGGATGTCGCTTCGGTCGAAAGGACAGGTACAATGGATCAGCTTCCCCCCGGCGGCGCTTTGGCTCTGCTGTACATGCGGGACCGCCTGAGTATACCGAGAGACATGGGCTTCTGGGCGGGAAGACGGTTGAGACAAACTCTCTCCGACGTCGCCTCGGACTACGGGAGTGCGCAGGACTGGGAGATTTATCGGGGCGATCCGCGGTGGAGAATTCCGAGGGAGCATCGCAGGGACGCAGACCCGACGCCGTTCAGGGCAGCTGTGAAGGCGTGAGTGTGAGATGTGAAGGCTTGCGCTTAGGCGTCTTGGCACGCCCTTCCCGCTGATTGTGCGCACTTCGCATCCTAGAAGCCGAAGCTGTGGGTGTGACTTTCGGCTAAATGTGCATGCCACGATGGTTACCTGATTGCTTATCGTCACCGTGTTCGCGATTCGTCCACGGCCCTGGATTGCCAGGTCGCTGGAGATCGACTATGTCCTCACACGCACCTGATCGCTGCACAAATGTTGAACGCCCGCTTGGCACTTCTTAAATGGTAAAGGCATTCATAGTGACTTAACAATTGGAGAGAGATCCAGCTGCGTGCGGCAATTCCCGCCACCGAGCCAGCCCAGCCTTCTTGGTGTCAGCTGCTGGAACCAGTGAGGATGATGATGGCGATTCTGATGATGGTGGTGATGATATGTTTTCTGATGATGGCGGTTATGGTGATGCTGGTGATGATGACGATGATGGCGATGGGAGGATGAGGAGAGGTAGGATGAGGACTGCAGGAGGAGTAGGTGGACGACGGGGGCGAAAGACAGAAGTGTGGTGATGATCATGGGGAGGGAGACGAGGACGAAGATGGTAGTGATTATACTGACGATGTTTGTGAGGAGGAAGATGGCGAGGAGGAGGACGAGGATGATGATGAGGCGAAAGAGGAGAGCGGTCATGTGTGACACCGTGCGAATTCAGTTCTCGAGGAGCCCCATGGACCTCAGTCGGGCGAGGATCGTGGTGGACGAGGGGGATGAATGACATGATGGTGGTGATGATGAGGAGGAAACGGAGGAGGACGAGGACGAGTATGGTGGTGATGATGTTGAGGAGGGGACGGCGGATGCGAAGGATGATGAGGAAGAGGAGGACGAAGGCAGCCGTCAGATGTGACACCTTTCGTCGCCACTTCTCGAGGAGTCCTCTCGGATTTCATTTGGGCAAGGATCGTGGTGGACGAGGGAGGCGAACAACACGATGATGGTGGTGATGATGATGTTGATGATGTTGATGACGATGGTGATGCTGATGATGATGATGAGGGTAATCATGATCATGAGGAGAAGGGTGCGAGGACGGCGGTGAAGACGACGACGACGATGACGATGATGATGAGGGTGGTGGTGGTGGTGTTGATGATGGTGACGATGACGCTGATAATTGTGATTTGACGATGACGAGTGAGGCTCCATCGGCAGGGACTGAAGAGATGTGCGGGGAGGCGGCTTTTGCGGTCAAGCCGAGTCCAAATAAAAAAATGGTGATGATGATATTGAGGAGGAGGAGGAGGAGTTGGAGGAGGAGGAGGAGGAGGATAAGGAAAAGACAATCCGTTACATATGATTATTTTCGTCGTCATTCCTCGAGTAGCCCTCGTATACCTCACTTGGGAGAGGATCGTGGTGGACAAGGGAGACGAGTCAGATGATGATACTGATGCTGATGCTGATGATGATGATGATGAACATGATGACGATGATGCTGATGATGATAATGACGATGCTGATGCTGCTGATGATGACGATGCGATGACGGTGATGCTGATGCTTATGGTGGTGATGATGGCGAGGATGATGATGAGGACGACGATGGTTGATATTCTGATGATGGTGATGGCGATGATGGTGATGGTGATGTTGATGGTGGCGCTTGCGGTGTTGATGCCGATCTTTATGATGGTGATGCCGATGATGATGTTGACGACGGCAATGATGAGGGTGGTGATGATGATGACGACTACGAGGATGTTGATGTCGATGAAGACGACGATGATACTTATGACGATGATGATGAGGCTGATGATGGTCATGATGATGCTGATGATGCTGATGATGCAGCTGATAAGGATGCTGACAACGACGATGATGATGACGACGATGCTGATGATGAATATGATGATGATGCTTTGATGTTTCTGATGTTGGTGTTGTGACGATGGCGATGCCGATGATGATGCTGCTGGTGAAGATGTTGACGATGATGATGATGCTGGTGATGATGATGATGATGATGCTGATGATGATGATGATGGTGATGCTGATGATTATGATGATGATGATGGTGATGATACTGCTGCTGATGATGGTGGTGGTGTTGATGATGCTGATGCTGCTGATGCTGATGCTGGTGATGATTCTGATGGTGATGATTATGCTGATGCTGATGATGATGCTGATGCTGATGATGATGATTGTGATGATCATGCTGCTGCTGATGATGATGCTGTTGCTGCTGGCTGCTGCTGGCTGCTGCTGCTGAGGATGAGGATGATGATGCTGCTGCTGATGATGATGATGAGGAGGAGGAGGAGGAGCAGGAGGAGGGAGCAGGAGGAGCAGGAGGAGGGTGAGGAGGAGGAGGAAGACAAGAAGGAGGAGTGGGATGATGAGGAGGAGGATGAGGAGGAGGAGGAGGAGGAGGAGGGTGAGGAGGAGGAGGAGAAGGAGGAGGAGGAGGAAAAGGAGGAGGAGGAGGAAGATGGAAGCCATTACATGTGACACCTGTCGTCTCCACTTTTCGAGGATCCCCATGGAATTCATTTGGGCTGTCTTGGGGCCGTCCTGGGCTCCTGTAGGGCAGTTCTGGAGGCCCCCTTGAGCCGTGTTGAAACCATCTCGGGCCGTCTTGAGGCCAAAGCGGGCCATCTTGGAGCCATTTCGGGTTGCCTTGGAGGCATCTTGGCCTCGGGAGCGCGCAGCTGTCTGTCTTATTCTGCTAGGGATTGTAGCCGCGAGAGCGCGAACTTGTCGTCTTCTGCGACGGATTACGGCCTGGAGAGTGCGAATGCGCCGTATTTTGCGAGGGGCTGTGGCCTCGAGGGGAAAAAACACACAGACACGATTAATCGTCGATTCCCCAGAAAATATAGGAAAGTATGGGAAGTGGGGGGGAGACAAAAACCCAGAAAATATGGGAACATATGGGGAATCTTTTTATTTGTGTGTATTTATTTGTGTGTCCCAGGGCCCCTTCATTGTGGCCTCGAGGGACGAGTCGGGGCATGCGGCGCGCAGCATGGCGAGAGGAGGGGGGCGCCCCTGCAGATCACAGCAAGCTTGCCAGACGGCACCTGGCATCCTAGCGCGCCCCAACGCGCCAGGGGGCACGGCGAGGAGCGCCTCCAGCGTGCACCGTTGGTTCCGGGATCGTTTTGTTGTTGTTGTTGTTGTTGTTGTTGTTGTTGAACATTATTTCTTCTTAAGAATAATTATTGTTGGGACCCCTGGTGCGCGACCCCCCCGCCGCGCCTAGGCCGCAGCCTCATTTTCATCATTTTCGTGAGGAAGTCTCAGGTAAAACGATGTCATCCAGATCCGGTTGTTTTGTTGTAATCCGTTTTCCCTTGCAAAAAACACTATAAAATGACATTTCTTGTTCTAATATAATCAAATTTCAAGAATCCCTTGCAAAAAATAAGGTAAAGTGGACATTCGCGCGCGCAAGACGAAATCCTTCCAAAACCTTAGTTTTCGTAGCGATTTTAACATAAAAACATCAAAAAACCAATGGTTTTTCAAAAAAAAATTGTCGAAATTTCATCCCGCGCGCTCTTGCGGATTCGTAGGAAACCCAACACTTTTTAAACATTTCTGTCAAACGGGCTTTTGCGAGCAACTTTTTCGAACTTCTGCAACAACGGTTGCGCACCTGCCAGGGCCATCATCCCTGTCAAATAATACCATGCGGGACACATTCGTTTTTTCTTCGCGCGCGCACGCCGTCGTCGTCGGCCGCGGGGCCCTGAATAGTAGCCACGGTCGTCCGCATGCCACGAAGTGAAGTGTCCGAACGTCATAGGGCGGGAAGCTGGGTGTGGGTGGTGGCGAAGAGTCGTATGGAAATTTGGTAGAGCTTGAACCGGCCCCCCCACAAAGTGGGGGTATTGCCCGCCTCCTATGAAAACCCTGGCACTGGTGAGAACGGAGTGTCCCCAGTCTTAAATGATTGTTGTTGTTGTTGTTGTTGTTGTTGCTGCTGCTATTTTTCTAACTGAAGGATGCGGGCCACACCGGGGACCTCGCTGGCGGATGACGGGGAAACCGCCGCCTCGCTCGAGACATTCTCGGAAAGCCAGCTCCAGAGAGAGGACTCCGAGCCAGCATTACCTCGGAATCCCTCCTGGAGGGTGCCAGAACGACCCAAGAGAGCTCCCGAAGGCCCCCCAGCTCGAGGGGCCCCCAAGAGGCACCCAGAGGCCCCCAAGAGCGCCCGAAGAGGCCCCGCGACGGCCCAAGACGACCCCAAGACGGCCCAAGACAGCGCCAAGATTGCCCAAGAAATCCTCGACGGGCAATCGGGGCCCGCCAAGAATTTCCCAAACGGCTCAAGCAGCCCCCAAAAGTTCCTTGAGGACTTCCCAAGCGCCCTGAAGGAACCCCAAGAGGCCCCCAAGAAGCGCGCGGAGGTCCCAAAGAGCCCCCGCGAGAGGCTCCCAACGGGTTGTCAAGAATCTCCCCAAACCCCTATGGACCCTACACGGCTCATACAGTCCGTCATGCGCTTCAAGACGCGTGTCCAAAACCCCAAGAACCCGACACGGTCCATGGAGTCCGTCATGCGCTTCAGTACGCGTGTCCAACTGCCGCACGCTTTAAAGCACCTCCATATTTCCAGGGTCGGCGGATGTTTTACTGGGATCGGTGGTCTGCCGAGTCGGAAAAGTTTGTGGCAGGGATCTTCCACAGTTTCTTCCAAGGTCTCCCTTGACCCGTATCCATAGTGACCTGAATGAAGACCTTGGATAATGCACGTGAGTGCTGTGCTCTAGTTTGCGTTCCAGGCTCTAGTCGCTTCTGCTTCCAGCACGTACCTGTGTCGGTACGCATGCAGTTCGAGCACCCCAGGCGACACACATGCCGCTGCCCATAATCTGTTTGATGGTCTTTCCGTTCCTGAGCGTTACTCATTATGAGATCATGTGTCTGCCACGCCGAGCCGTTAATAATATTGGCTTACGCTGCCAGCCCCTACGCTAGGTGATCTCCACTGTCCCCGCGTTGTGTGGAGATGCGGCCGCCTCTTCTGGACCGCCGCTAAGAGAAACGCAGGGACATCGAAAGCTGACGGGAGAGGATGCTGCTGGCGTCGTCAGCCGGCCTCCGCTGCCTCCAGTGTCGTCGTCGTCGTCGTCGTCGTCGTCGTCGTCGTCGTCGTCGTCGTGAGCGTCGTCGTTCTCGTCCTCGTCATGCCCCATGGGCTTCCTTCTCCTCAGTCCTCCCTCTCCGCGCTCGTCTTCCCATCAATATTGCTCCACGTCCTTGCTCAGTGCTTGCTATCCCCCTCGTGCTCCTTCTGCTTTCCCGCGCCGTGCTCCACGTCCCGCGCGCTGTCCTTGACGTCCGCCCGACGAGCCCCGCGACCCAAACTCGGCGCTTCCCGTTCTTGTCCGGAGAGGTTTCAGATCGCACCCGACCAGTTGGGACGCTTTTCCACCGCCGCTGGGGCGCGGCGCGAGCCGGAAGCTGCAGGCTGTTCGAACGGCGACTGGGATTTCTGAGCGCGGCAGTGCTGACCGCCCAGCCTGCAAGGGCTGAGCCTTGCTCGGCGTGATGTCCGTCCGTCCAATTCGCTCGGTCGCGGCTCGTGGGAGGTGTGATGCGGCGTCGGCGCGGGTGCGCCCGTGGCCGGACGTAGTCTTGATCCGGTGTACTACCGCCAAGCCTTGTTTCTTTCCGCTCGGTGCGGTCTGATCCTCGAATTTGTTAAATCTAGCTGAATGGCCCCGTCAGAATCATCGCCACCCCGCCAGGACAGTGAAAGTTGGTTTTCCCAGTGTGTCCCCGCGAGGTGGGGATAGGTACTCCGAAAACCGACGGCTCTTGGTCCCGATCCGCCCCTTCGGTTGGCCCCAATCGCTCGGTTGCAATTCCTGGGAGGTTGAAGTCATCGTTGGCGCTGGTATATCACCGTTCGGAAACGGTCCTATCCTGGTCTGCCCAGCTAATCCTGTTTAGCTCCGTTTACTTAAGCTGAGCAGTGGGCTAAACCCCGCTTGATCAGGTTCAGTGGCCCGTCCGTCGGGCTGGATCGCCCCTGGTCGTTCCCACAACGACCCTTTTCTCAGAGTTGTCACTGTTTTTTTTTGGTTTTGTTTTTGTTCTCTCTCCCTGTGTCTCGGTATCTCTCTTTTGTTTTTTGTCCCTGGCCTATGGTGTGCTGCTCGGCTCCCGTGGCCCGTCTGTCGGCCCTTCGGTCGTTTTGTTGCCCTGCCCCTGCCGTCAGTCGACGCCCCCCCCGGTTTCTGTCTCGCTCTCTTTCTCTCCCTGCGGGCCGCGCAGCCAGCCCTCGAGGCCATCCCGCTCCAGAGGGAACCCCAGGATGCGGCCGTCGAGCCCGTCCCTCCGCCAGGGTTCTCCTTGCTCGCGCGCGCGCGGCGGAGCTCTTCCGGGAGGTGCCGGGGCCCTTCGCCACTTCGCGCAGAAGGTGACCTTCGTGAAGAAGATCTACAAGGAGCCGCCTGCGGCCGCGCCGACGGCGACGACGTCGGCGGCGACGACGACGAGAGGGCGTGGGGGGACCTTGGCCCTCGAGTATCGAGGCTTTGGTTAGTTTTTTGTTTTTTTTCTTTTGGAGTTGTCGTTGCTGTTGTTGAAATTGTTGTTGTTATGGCTGTTGGTGCTGTTGTTGTTGTTGTTGTTGTTGTTGTTGTTGTTGTTGTTGTTGTTGTTGTTGTTGTTGCTGCTGCTGTTGTTGTTGTTGTTGTTGCTGTTGCTGTTGCTGTTTGTTGTTGTTGTTGTTGTTGTTGTTGTTGTTGTTGTTGTTGTTGTTGTTGTTGTTGTTGTTGTTGTTGTTATTGTTATTGTTGTTGATGCTGATGCTGTTGTTATTATTGTTGTTGGTTGTTGTTGTTGGATTCCAGAGGCCTCCAGGGACCTCCCAGGAGGATGGGAACAAGGATGGAGGGGAACAAGGGGAGTTGTTTTTTGTCTAGCCTACGGATGGGCTCTTGTGGCCGTGGCTGGATCCGCCTCGTATTCCTGGTCCGTTGCACGACAAGCCCGGGGGGCGATTTTGAGCGAAGAGGGGGGGATGGCGGGGAGGAGGGGAACATTTTGCGGGTTCTTGGGCGTCTTTCGGGGGTTTCTGGAGGTTTGTCAGGGGGCTTCAAGGGTTGTCTTTGGGGGTCCCGGTACTCTGGGCATTTCCTCGCGGTAACGAGCCAAACTGTATTGTAGTGGTCTTCGGACTGTGCCGCCCATCCGGGGCGCTTAGTATATCTGGCTGGGGGGGAGTGCAGAGGGATGGAGGGAACGAGAGATAGAGAGAGAAAGAGAAAGAGACACATAAAGAAATACATGGAAAGAGAGACAGGGGGTATATATATATATACACACATACATACAGAAGATTTTTTTATGGGCTCGCTGCGCTTCGCCTTTAAAATCTTGGTCGCATGGCGCCAGGGAGGCGCGATGAGATCGGCTGTCGTCACAGCCGCGGTGTGTTCTGGCCATGGAGACCATGGAGCAAACAGGGCAGATAGGACCCAGGGAATATTGCGGCTCAAAGAGCTCAGAAGGTGTCTCTGCCGTCATGGGGCCCAGGGGCTCGGAGCCCCCATTTTAGGCGTGTGGTAATGCTGCCGATGCGGCTCCAGGGGGTCATGAGACTCACAGGGTTCACAGGGCTCATGGGGTTCGTTGGGGTCCTGGGACTGTTTGTGCACATCGGGCACGGGGCTCATAATGCTGAGTGGCTTTTACCGAGGTCATGGGGGTCATAGGAGGCTCATGGTGCTTATAAGGGTCCTGGGGCTCCTTGGAGTCATCAGCTCTTGGGGGCCATTGAGCTCATAGAGCTCGCAATGCTCCTGGGGGCCATGGGGCCCATAGCGCTAACAGAGCGCGTAGGGCTCATAGGGGCCGATTGGGGTGAAGGGGCAAGTCGGGGCCATAGGGCTCATAGGGCCCATAGGCCGTATACGGCTCACTGGGCTCGTAGGGCTCAGAGGGGGGTCTCATGGGTCTCGCAAGGCTTCACGGCTCCTCATGCTGAGGGGGTTCTGGGGCTCATAGGGCGCATACGCTTCATAGGGGTCATCGCGCTCATATGGTGTCATGGAGGGTCGGGGGGGGGTATGGGGCTCGGCTCATTGAGTTCATGGGGCTCCTGGGGCTCGTGAGCTCATAAAGCTCATGGGGCTTCTGGTGCTCATAGGCCTCAAAGGGCTCATCAGGCTCATGAGGCTCATGGCGCTCGGAGAGCTCATACTGTATCGTCGGGTTTGGATGGTGGATTTTCCTCCTTCTCGTCCAGCCTCTTCCTGTTTCCCTCCTCCTCCGTCCTTCGACCTCCTTGCTCCTTCTCCTGTCCTAGTGTGCCTCTCCCCCAGGGGAGCGGGCTTCACCTGCGGCTCTGAGTGGAGGATTCGCAGTGCGGCACCTTCGGCCGTCTCGTGGCCCTCATGGGGCCCGTGTGATCCGTCTTCCTGGGATGATCCGCAGAACGCTACGTCACCACATGTGTGCCGAAAGTCCCCTCACATGGACCGCCAACGTGTGAAGAGCCAACGTGTGCATGCCGCCGCACCGTACATGGTGGCACACCCGTGATCTGGATTATGAGTTGGGGGGACCCTTCGGGGTGTCGCGGCGTGTGGGGGTGAGAGCGCTGGAGGTGTTAGGGTTCCCTCACGGGGCTCAGGGGGCACCATGAGGCACCATAGTGGTCGTAGGGCTTGTGGGGCCGACATGCCTCGTATGACTGATTGGGGTATGGCCTCTCGGGGCTCTCGTGGGGCTCCTTTTGATGCTCTTTTGGGCTGTCTGGCGGCCCTCCTGGGCCGTCCCGGAACCCTCTTGGGCCGTCCTGGGGGGTGTTTGGGCCGTCTTGGGGCCCTCTTGGTTCTTATTGGGGGCCTCCTGCGGCCTTCTTGGGGCTCTCTGGGAAGCCTTTTGGTGCTCTTTGGGGCGGTCTTGGGGCTCTCTTGGGTCGTTTTGGAGCCCTTTTGGGCTGTCTTGGGGCTCCCTTGGGGACTTCTTGGGCCGTCTTGGGGCGATCTTGGGAGCCTCTTGGGCCGTCTTGGACGCGGTGAAGGCCAAAGAAGCGGATGTGCTAAAAAATGCACATTTTACGGAGGGAATGGGACGATTTTGACCTCTTGCGGGTCTTCTTGGGGGCCTTTTGGGGCGTCTTGAGAGCATCATGGGCCGTCTTGAAGCCACCGTGAGGCCTCTTTGAGTGCTCATGAGCCGTTCTGGAGCGGTCTTGGGCCGCCTTGGGGCTTTGTGGGACCGTCCGGGGATGGCCGGGAGAGGCTCCCGAAACCGAAATTCGAATTTGACGTCGGTGGGAGCGCCCAGGGCCGAACATATGTGCGGGGGGGTGGGGGTCAGGGTTTCTTCCGCTATAAATAAGAGTATTCGAAGAGGAATATATATATATATATATATATATATATATATATATATATATATATATATATATATATCTGTCCATATAGAGAGAAGAGAGAGAGAAAGAGAGAAAGAGAGAGAAAGAGAGAGAAAGAGAGAGAGAGAGAGAGAAAAAGGGAGAGAGAGAAAGAGAGAGATAGAGAGAGAAAGAGAAAACGATGGGGGGGGAAGAGAGAGAGAGAGAGAGAGAGACAACGAGGGGGAGAGAGAGCGAGAGAGAGAGAGAGAGAAAAGAGAGAGAGAGAGAGCGATAGAGAGACAGGAAAAGAGAGAGAGGAAGAGAGAGGAATCTAACGAAATAAAGACATACAGAGAAGGAGAGAGGAATGTTTCGGGAGGGGCGAGGGCAGAGGCGGGAGGAATCATGATATGATGCTGAGGATGATGAGGAGAAAGAGGATGATGATGCAGATGATGATGATGATGATGATGATGATGATGATGATGATGATGATGATGATGATGGTGGTGATGATGCTGACGATGAGGAGGAGGAGGAGCAGGAGGAGGGGGAGGAGGTGTTAGTTATAACGAGGGTGACTGGGTCAGGAAACAGGTCCTATTATTATTATTATTATTAATATTATTATTATTAATAATAATATTATTATTATTAATATTATTATTATTATTATTA